GCTGGCTTTCCCCGCACGCTGAGAGATCTGGCAGCAGAGGAGGGAGGGGACAGATGCTGCTGCTCTGTTTGCCCGAAAACAAAGGAGGAGAAGATTACACTTGGCTTTTGAGTTTGCTTATGGCGAGATCAAACCCGCCGCGAGCCCGTCTGGCTTTCAAGTGGCAAAAGCCTCGGGTTGTGGACTGGGGGGACGCAGCCTGGCCAGGCGGGGACCTGCCTGGGTAAAGGTGGCACCCAAGGGGTGGTGGCACTGGCTGGGCACTGCTTTCTGAGCTCTCCACCCTCCTCCAGGAGGGGAAACTGAGGCACGGGGCGATTCAGTGTGCATGTGCCCTGAGGTTAAGGGATTTGGGGGTGGGTACAGGGCGATAGCAGGGGGAGAAGGACAGCTGGGGGTTGATGTCTTGATGCAGGGAGCTAAGGGACGGGCTGGCATCTCCGTGAAGGGCAGCACAGTGGAAGTGCCAGGTTTGACAGAACTGGCCCAAAGCCACCTCAGCTGGTGCTGGTACCTGCTTGGCCCACACACCAACCCCTTTTCCCCAGCTGTTGCCATTTCCAGATCCCGGCAAAACTCCACTGCTTCACCCACAAGCCCCAGCCAAACGCACTTGGTGGGGAAGGAGTTAAAAGCTCTGGCCTGAGCAGTTTTCTAGCCCGTGGCTTCTTTCCCCCTCTCCAAAAAAAAACCACCACATTATCAAAAACCTGCCTGGAATCCTCTCAGCCAGTGACACAGAAAATTCACATTGCAGAGGCTGCCAGGGCGACAACAAATAGCAACAGTAAATACAGCTGCCTGCAGCTCCCGGCTGGTGCCCTGCCCGCGGGCTGGGGCTCAGGAAGGGCGTCACGCTTCGGCACGATGCGCTCGGCCTCTGCCTTTCCAGAGGACCCTCGGCTTTCTTGCTGCCTCTCCTTGGGTATCCTCTCCTCGGTTACTCGTGGCCCCTGGATGAGTCCTCCGGAGGAGTCACGGAGCCAACACGACCAGTTCCTGCTGAAGCACATCTCCTTCCTTCTCTCTTTTGCTCCTTTGCTTTCCATCTCTCCAGGAGCCTGCACATCGCGCACCCCGTGCACAGAGCTGGGTCTCTGCAGACCCCGTCAGCCTCACTGAGGCTCCGGGCAGGACCCCAGGGACCAGGTTGGGATGTTCCTGCTGGGAAATCCCTGCCCTCGCCCCCAGGAGCAGCTCAGCTACCCCCTTGCTCACCAGCTCCATGCTGCATCTCTACCCGCTCCCCCTGCGCCTTATTCCCGTCTCCCCCTTCCTCCTTTTTTGCATGTTCCCCTTCTCCTTCCCCTCCAGCCATCACTCGCACTTCACACATCTGCCACATTCACTTTAGCAACAGGTAACGAGGCCGTGTCTGGCCTAAAACTGGTAATACTAAAGGAAATATATATATATATTTTTTTCCAGCATCAGCTTTTTTTCCAAGCTGCGGCGGGTTCCCGTCCCGCTCTGCATATCTGATGTTTATTTTAAGTCAGTTGCCGGGTGGAAGCTGTATCCCTGCAGTTCCTGTTCTTAATCTCTGCTTTTTTCCCCTCTTTTGCTTCCCTTCCTGCTGCTCCCCACCTCCTTGGTGCAGCACCTGCAGCCCCAGCCGGGAATGTTGGGGAGATGGAGGTGCCCTTCCCGGAGCTGTCTTTACATCTCAGGCCTCCTCCAGGGCACTGAGTCTGTCTCCACTTAAAATCAGCACCACAAACCCCACCAGAAGGGTCAAAGCAGTGAACGCAGAGGCAGAATTAAAAGCCAATGATATGAAAGATGGGAAAGCTTCCTCTTGGCTAGGAATTAAAGGAAGATCCAGGACAGCCCCTCTCGGCCACACCGTCCCCACCGGGAGACCCCCCAGCAGGAGGCAGAGGCTTGGTGGCACTGCTCAATGTCACCAGGGTCGCTAGCAGGCGCCTGGCACGGCAGGGACATGAGGGCCAGGATCCTGCCTCCCACCTCAGGCTCTTTCTTGCCTGCCTCCCAGTGCCTGGCGGGGGGGGGGAAAAGAGAGGATGATGGAGAGGATGCAGATACAGGGCCGCCTGAGGGGTTTGGGAGGTGAGATTTATGAGGCTGCGTCTTGGAGAAGCTTTCAGGAAGGGGAAAAAAAAAAAAGGGAAACCCTCCTTCAGGTGGCTGCAGATCTGTCTTGCTGCTGGTAGCAGAGATCTCACCCTGCCAGCGCACACAGAGGAGGGTCTCATCTCTCAGGGATGTTGTGGGGACTTTGGGAAGGTGCCTTTGGCTGCTGCAGGTGGCTTGGTGCCACGTCCCGGGCACAGGCAAGGGGACATCGTGGGGAGATGCTCCCACAGGCACTGCTTTCCTGCCTGGGACCCCGTGTGTCCTGCTCCCAAGGGTTCACAGGGCAGCAAATTGTCCCAAAAGCTCCAGGACAGGAGCAGAGGGTGCCCACTGAAGGATAACAGGGGGGTGAGGGCAGGGCTGGCTGCCCCGGCCCCCTGCTCGCTCCTGGCTAGGAGCTGAGCGCGGTGGAAGGAAGAAAGAGCAAAGCCAGGAAAACTCCTTCCCCATCATATTTACTGAACCGCTCTGAGTTATGACTGGAGGCCAAGATCTGGCTTCAGGCGATTGCCTAAATCATTTAGGAGCTGACAAGGTAGGGAGGGGGGAAAATGTTCTTGTAATTCTTCAGTCTGAGGTACATTAAGGAGCCATAAGCCATGTCGAGAGCTTGAATTACATTAGAGAGATTATCCTGTTACAGTTCATAATCCTGGATAATATACCATCCCGCAGCACACCTGCCAATGATAAATCTCGCCCCGTAATGGGGCAGCCGTGACCCTGGCGGTCCCGTAGCCCTCTTGGCATGGAGCGGTAGCACCACGCAGACAGATGGAGTCAGGAGGGAGAGCAGGGAGGAATAACAGCCTGGCAGCGGTGTCTGCACCGAGGGAAATTCATGGCCGGGTGGCTCCACGAGGATCTCAACGTGCTGGGACTCCCTGGGCAGGTCCTCGTCCTGCGGGCAGTACGGGCCTGGGCCAAAAGGGATATAAAGGGAAGGGACTGCAGGGCCACCAGGCTCCATAGGGGCCCCACGCGGCCCTATAAGTGTAGGGCTGAGGATGTGGCCCCTGGCCAAAGCCCGCAGGACTGAGGAGGGGAGCCTGGCAGCCAGATGGGCAGCAGCACCCTCGGCCAGGGCAGGGATGCCTCCCCAAAAAGTGGGGATTTCTGGCACCCAGTCTCTCAGTGGGAAATGGGGAGGGATGGGGCTGGGTCACAAAGGGATGAGGGAGAAGATCAGGTGGAGCAAGGAGCCCGTCTGCTTAGGGCACCAGGAGGATCAGAGCTGCCTTAGCCCCTCAGGGGAGAGTCGATCAGCTGGGGAGGGGATCTGCAGCCCAGAGACCTTCCCTCTCTCTCCATGGCATAATCCTGCCTGTGATGTCCCACAAGAGGCCACCAAGCCCCCTGAACCCGTAGCCCTACCCACTCAGCTTTTTGGTCTCAGCCATCTCCCAGCCTTGCTGCCCTGCTCTGCCGACAGCAGCCCCCTGGGCTATCAAGCCATTTATCCTCATCTCCAGTCCTCCTCCAGCCCGAGCTACTTCCCTGCCCTATAGCCATAAATCCTGCTGTCCCCCTGGATGCTGAGCTGACCACGCAAACTCTGCCAGGCAGCATCTCCCTCCTGCAGCCTGCAAACCCTGCCCTGCAAACTGCAGCTGCCCCACTTCAGTCTCCCAGGGGAAGATGCTCCGTCCCCCAGGCCCGCCTGGCTCCTGATTTTGCTCCTGTAAACTGCACCAATCCACCGATGACACTAATTTACACTAACTCCCCAAAAGGGAGGGGACGGGACCGTGTCCACCCGCTCCTGGACGTCTCCTCTTCCCTCCTGCCCCTCTCTCCAGGCCTGCTCCCCGTGCCCGTGATGTTTTCTTTAATAACCGCTCGCTTCCAGGCTGCTCTGCTCTGAGGCTCAGCAGCTCCCAGGAATTCCTGCCTCTGCTCTGGCTGCCGGCCTCTGGCCAAGGTAAATCCCCCCCTGCCCACCCCTCCCCAGCACCCATCACCTGCACGGCCCCAGCTCGGGGGCTGCAGTGCTCAGACAGAGCCCCTCTGTCCTGCGGGGATTTGCAATTTCCCCGATGGCCCTGGCGGATACTTGACAAGAAAACCTCTTCTCTCCGGCTTGTGTGTTTTGTTTAAGTGCTTTGAGATAAAGCCCTTTTATCACGTTAAGAGCCTGGTTGCCCTGGTTTCTTCCTCTGGCCTGAAGGCCATTCTTTTCCTCCCTCTTGTTTTTGACCTCAGGTTCAAGAGTGCTAGACCTCCCTGGTTCAGAGGAGACCTTGGCAGCCAGCGTGACAGCCAGTGTGGGAAAAGCCAGGGCAAGAGCTGCAGAGGGCTGCTGAAGGCCCAGCTCACCCAGGGAACAGCTCCCAAACCGTGCAGGAGAGCAGGAAGGGAAGAAATGTAAGAGGAGAGCAGGCACGCACTCCTCCAAGCCTCTGCTGCTCGCTCTTCCTTTTACCTTCCCTTTTCTCTGGGCCACCTCCTTTTATTTACTCTTCCCCCCTTTCCCACTCCTCCTCCCTGCTCCTTTCTCTGCCTGTGCCTCTCTCCTCCTTTTTCTCACCCATGTTTTGCTTTCCTTCCCTCCTTCTTTCTCTCTCTCCCTTCCCCTGCGGCTTGCCAACTGCCAGCAGATGACATCTCCTTTCATGTTTGGGGCTGAGCGGAGGCTCTGAATGTTCGTTTGATTCCGTTAAGATAATAGCTGGTTCACTGTCAGACGCAGACTGATCAGTTAAAACCTTAATCACTGCCTGTCTACTCACATGGCACTTATTTTTTAAGAGATTAATCCCCTAAGCACTGCACCAGCATACATTCAGGCTCAAAGAAAAGGGTGGGTTTTTATTATTATTTGATGCGTTTACTGTTTCTTTTTTTGCCCCCACCTCCTTTTTTTTTTTTTTTTTTTTTTTTTTTTTTTTTTTTTTTTTTTTTTTAATGCATCCCTCTGCTTCTTCATCTGATGTTCAGAAGCCATCTGACCCCCGGCACCGGTCCCTTCGTGCCAGGCATGCTCGGAGGCCAGGGGAGATGGAGGCACTGCTGCTCCTCTCCTGGGCTCTGGGAGAGGCAGGACAGCGTGCTGGGCTGAGGACAGAGCCCAGCTGGGGACTCAGGACAGCCAGGCTCTGTCCATATTCCCCCCATCACACATTTTCCCCCATCACCGCCTTCATCTCCTGTCCCTTCCCTATTAACTGCAGGAACTGGCAGTGGTAAAACACCCAGACAGGAGTAAGAGGCCCTGGCGAGCACCTCGCAGTCGGCTGGGGAAGCTCAGGTAGCAGCAAGCTCAACTCTCCTCCTGAGCATTTTAATTAACGGAGAACACCCGATTCCCCTTAGACTTTGCAGTAGGTGCAGAGGAAGAAAGTGGACGGTGATACAGAGCCCATCTCCCCGCTTGCCCCAGGGCAGCAGCGGAAAAACTGCTTTTATGCGGCAATTTGCATTCACCCAGCTTCAAGTGTTTCACATCTTCACCTCCATCCTCAAAGGGAAATGGGTGCTGAGAGCTCATTTGCCTCAGAATCAGCCTGCAGCTGAGGGCAGAGCTGCCGGACCAGGCTTCCCAAAGCAGCTGCCCAAAGGGATGCTGCTCCTATCCCCACGAGACTCGGCCTTGGAGCTGAGCTGGGCTGAGGAAGAGGATGGTGCCACCAGGCAGGGTCCTCCTCACTCCTCCTGGAACATGGGGGAAGCACAGCAATATTTTCTGAGTGCTAAAGGCTTACGAAAACCTTCTTTACGTTTGCCTTGTGATCAGAGACAGAAGAGCCGTAACAGCCTGAAGCCCACGGTTTGCTTTAGCGCTTAAATATAGAGAAAATTACTTAAAAATAGAGGAAGTTCAGCATTAAAAAAAATATAATAAAATGTTCGGCACTTAAAAATAGAGAAAGTTCAGGAAAAGCAGATCTTTTACTAACACCCAGGTAAGGTTTTTCAGTTTGCCATTCCCCGCGGTGGCGGCGAGGAATGACTGAGTTCTGCATCCATCCCACCGCAGCCACCACGCTCCAGAGTGCCCGGTGCTGTGACCTGCCTCTTGCTGGAGGTCACAGCTTTATTTGCATGATGTGCAGCACGAGGGGACACGGCTGCCCGGCACACGCGAGGGGTCCCGAAGGTCAGTCCTCAACCAAGAGGGTGCTGGTGGTCCCCGTGCCCACAACGAAATGGCAAAAGTGGTATCGGGAGCTTGCTACGGACGGGCTCCTCTCCCTGGCACCGCAGAAGGAACCTCCAGCAAGGTCTCCAAAAGCTCCTTGAGGGACAAAGCAGCTTCTTAGCAGCTCCCTGTGAAATACAGCCGGGGGTTTTGCAGCCTTGCCTCGGGGTCTGGCAGGATGCTCGGTCCCCAGGGCTTCGTTTCCACGTTCTGCTGCTAAACCCACACCTGCAGTGCCATCAAAGCAGCGACGGCGGTGTCACCAGCTCCTGGATGAAAGAGGTGGAGCTGCTGGCAGCAAAGGAGCCCTCAGGATTTGGTAAAATAAAGTTGGAATTATATGAGAAGAGGTTTTTTTGTCAGCTGCCTTTGGCATTTCCTATTTAAAATGAAAATGTAGTGAGAGAACAGGCTCTGAGTGTATTTTGGCAATTTTCGGTGAAATAAAACAAAACTGTCAGAAGGATCTGTATTTACACACGAAGGGAGAATTCACCTCCAGACCTTATTCTGCCGATTCCCCAAAACATTCCTGGGGCCAGAGTGCGGTAGGGTTAGAAAAAACAAAGTGAAAAGAAGAGACAGATGTAAATAAATTATATCCGGAATCATAGTGATAAAGTTTAAGAAAGCTTATGGATGGGTAAAGCAATCTCTAACTAATGGAGATCAGGACGAAACTCTCCCGAGGGACTGGTTATCCCATAAATTAAGAGTCAGTAGTGTCACAGACCCGAGCCCCGGGGTCCTGAAGCATTTTGTAAGTGCCACAAGCACACGAGCACCTGGGGGTGGCCGTGCTGATCGCAGCACCGACAGCCGGAGCCCAGGCTGGCAGTGGCCGTTCACGTGTTTCACAGCGATGTAAAAAAAAAAAAAAAAAAAAGGAAAAAAAAAAAAAAAAGGCCGTAGTAGTAAATGAGTAACAACACATGAATCTTTTCGGGAGGAAAGGGTGTGAGCTCTAACTGAAGCCTGCCTCGACTTTGATCTCGTATGAATAGGCTAGACCTGGCAAGAAGTTTCCTAGGATGCACACGAGCCTTCAGACATGCTAGGAGCAATCCCCGGCGTTCGTACAGGCCAGAAAAAGTTTCTGCCTTCCCTGCCTGCACAGACATTAGCTGGAGTTCACAGCACATTTCTGTTCACACCGTGGCTTAACTATTTTTGGGAAAATAACTGCTGAGCAGAAGGCAGGCTAAGCCATGGGTCTGGACCTTCGGGTGGGTGTTAGGTGCACAAAGTACGCTCTGTGCAAAAAAACTTTTGGATTTCAGTCTCTGGCTTTATCACGGAGGAGCCCAGGCAGTTGTATTGGTTTTTCCCTCACTTACAGCCTAAGAAAAGGTAGCTGCTTTGCCAGCAGTCACAGGGTTATTTAGAGCACTCAGTTCTTAACGACATGTTAGCAGATTATTTGTTACCAAAATCCAGATAGTTCCTTTAGCATAACGGCTACACCTTTGCTCAGAGATCTCTGCGCTGTTAGACTAACACTGTTGTGTAGCTACAGCCTACAGGGGTTCTTAATCTACCCTGTAAAGCAGCTTAAACTTCTTCCTCTCTTATCAAACTGCACGAGGATCCCTCTCTGCCTGACCCTAAAATACAAGGGCTGCACGCCACGCTCGGGATAACCAGCCTGATACACTCGGAAAGATCTGCTTGCTAATACAGAGCCCACCAGGACCCTGCCGAGAATCACCTCATTAATAACAAAGAAAAAAAATCATATCCATCCAAACAAGCTCATTTTCTAAACTTACCCGAGCAAGAGAACTATCTGCCTCTGCCAAGAAGCTCCAAAAGCCCCGGCCCCTCACAGCTGGCCAGCAGCAGGGCAAAACCCCATGCTTAGGAGGAGAAATTAAAACCCACAGCATCACCTGTGGCTCTGTTTTTTTCCCATTTATAACGATTTTTTTTTTACATCTCACCCTTTATTGCAAGCCGTGCTTTCCCCTCCATGCTCTTGAATGTGAACATTTGAAAAAAAATAAATAAAAAAATCTTGTTAAACTTTTAAGATACCAAGGAAACAATTATCCAATTACTCTGTTGGTTATTTATTATTGTTGCTCAGGCTGCGCTCGTTGCTTCACAGCTAGAGTTGAGCTTTGCACCTAAGGTTGATATTAATAAATAATAGCCATGAATTAACAATTCGCCTCTCGCCACCTTAATTTTATTTGTGTGATCTCAGGCCCAGGGCTTTTACATGCCTCTGTGCTCACACCAGTGCCAGCCAGGGTTACCGGTGGAGGGGAAATCGCTGCACATGGAGCTTGTGGCCAAGCTTCCCGGGGATATTTAAGTGTTTAACTCCCACTGAAACTGCAAATCGCTCCGAGGCTCCCAGCCTCAGAGACTTGCCCGAGCCTGCGGTGGATCCGGGAGCAGCACAGCGCTTCCCCTGGGTTCACACCCTAATTGTGAGATCCTCCCGTCGATATCGCAGGATCTCGGGACCGTTTAACAGCCCTGACAAACAAACTGGTGCCGAGAAGGAGCCATCTCCTCTTCTCAAAGGGGCACGGATGCAAAGAGATGGATGAAGTAGCTCGGGGAAGATCGCGTTAGGGTTTGCTGGAAGCTCCAAAAATCGAGCAGCCGCCTCCTTGCCCCCATCGCCGTGCCCTGACCTCCGGGACCGTCTCTGCTCTCAGCAGATGAAGGCAGGCAGGGTGGAACAGATTGACCAGCCCAGCTTCCTGGAGGTATTTCCCACCGACTGTTGCCGGGACGTACAATGAAAAGCGATAAATATCCCGGTGGAAAATATACGGCTCCTCATCTCCCAGTTGTGTTGCCGCGAAGAGCTGGGGATAAATTTTCAAAAGGCCCTTTCCCTCTTAGGGGATAAATCCTTCAGGACAAATCCTCTGGTGGGAAGCAGAGAAGAGCCAGAAAAACCCCGTGACCCTGCCTGCAATCGTGGAGCCAACAAGTGGTCAAGCTGAGGTCAAGGGGCCAAAGTGGGGCCAAAAAGGATGCTTTCTGCCAGGCCCATCTGCTGGCAAACAGACAGCAATCACCCCAAAGGTGCAGCGCGGATCAAGCTCCAGGACTCAAATGTTTCTTCCCCCAGACAGTAGCAATTATCATAATCAAGCAGTTGACTCCAATTACGCCTTCCTCTCATTACAGCCGAGGGGATGGACACAGCCACGGCAGCAAAGGGAAAGTTCGCAGCCGTGTCGCCTTTGCATATCTTAATCTAAAATGACAGGGTGTGACACGGGGGGCCGGTGACCCTGCCAGCCTTCAGCTGTTCGTGTGGCAACAATTTCCAGCACCAAATTACTCCCAGGCAGGGCTTGATTGGAGGTTCAAGGCAGCAGGAGAGAGAAGCCATTTAGGGGACTGAAACATTCTTCACAGCCCTATTTAAATACAATTTACATTCCAGGCTCTGCTGTTTGTGCATTGTTAATTGCATCTTGTACCTTAGTTTATTTTATAGTTGAAAGGTTTTTTTCTTTGCTGTTGTTTTTCAAAGGCATGCTCTCCTTCCTTATTTATTTTTTTCCTAAGGGGCTGTTGTTCTCAGAATATAGTTATATTTCCTGGAAGGGAAAATAGATTAGTAGATTTAAAGGCCAGAAGAGACAAACAGATCATCTAGATGACCTCCTGGAGAAGACAGGCCAGGACATTTTACTTGGTAATTCCTGTGTCTCGGTTTGTCCAGACTTAACCCAATGCCCTGTGTTGGGTAAAATGCCCCTTCCAGAAAGGCAGCCTCGATCCCAAACCCATGAGGTTTTGGGGCGCCTCGCTGGCTCCCAGGGTGGCTGGTTCCAGCGCTGGGAGAAGTCACGGGTGGGGACCCAAATAAACACCTTCTGGATCCTGCATGGACACTTGGATCCAGCCCATTTGCATGGTGTCATCTCACAGCTACAGCAGAAACCTGTAACCTGTTGTATTCAGAGCTTGAAGGAGGAAAGTGCTAACTCAGGAGAGGACACCAGCAAAACCCATCACAGCAGGTGTTGTTTAATAAAGACATTGCCCCTAAAAGACGAGCACTTGGCCTGTGCCCAGGTTAGAGGCTTTCAGCTTCCATCGTTTTTACCTGAGTTTGTTTCAGACCTAAGGTGATTTGGTCACTCTTGGTCTTTGTTTCCCATCTGTAAGGATGCTGGTGCCTCGCGTTGCTCCAGCCCTCTCAGAAATTTACTGCCCTTTGTGCGCTCGGTCAGCCTAGGGAGCCAGCGGAGGACGAGATGCATTGATTACAGCATGGTAACTGGATAATGCATGGACCGTTTTCATCACCTTTCCTCTCCACTGACCAAAGAGTTGTTGGTAGGAGACTGAACGTGGGAACAGACAATGATTTAGTTGATTTAGAGGGAAAAAAAAATGCAGAAGACAGAGTGGCTCTGGTTTGAGCACCTTTTTTTTTTTTTTTCATTCAATTGAAATGGGGCATACAAACCAAAATAAAAGCTCTCACCCAGCTCTTTGCGTTACTAAAATATGGTGCAGAGATCAGATTTTTCCTGTCGCCCTAAAGCCTGTGGACACTGGCAATGAGCTCCTTCTGGCTGGTGCCAAAGAGCAGGCCAAACCCAGACAACACAGCTGACTTTCCTACTTACAATCCCATATTCTCGTACTGATTTTGCATTACTGCATGTGACCACACATTGTGGAGGCTGAGAGAGAAGCCTTGTTTTCTAGCATTACTTTAACGCACACTGTGCCAGTTGCCTTGCACAAGGTTAGTTTAATGGCAGCGTGGACAGAAAATCCTACGCAGCTGAGTTATAGGGGTGCAGAAGTTTAACTCTTCTCAGATGGACTCTACGAGCTGCCCACAGGCTGACTTCTGACCTGGTGCAAAGCTGAAGTTAAAGGTTTTCACCAGTCCCTTCTCCTTCGCTTTGCAGAAAGGGTGGCTGCAGAAGTGGAAAACGGGTTTTGAATTTCCAAACTTGGGTGGAATTTCAAATCCCAGCTCTGGCTGTAAAAACAAGCCAAACAAAACACCTGTTGGGGGAGCACAGGGTTAAAACTTTGCAGATTTTTTTTCCCCTCATTTTTCCAGCCTGTTCAGCTATTGGGTTTGAAAAGCCGATGTCTTTTGTGAGGGTACTGGATTATTTGTGACTGGGGGCTTTCCACCAGGTTAAAGGCCAATTTGGATGCCCAGTAGCTGGAGCCAGGACCCGTTTCTGGGTCTCAGGACTGTTTGCTTCAGTGAAGCCCTAGGAGCTTCGACTGAGTTGAACAAACCTGAAAGCTAAGATCTATCATCCAGGTGACAGCCAGAAGAAAAGCAAAACCACCCAGTGAAACCCGTGGGGAAGGCACGATTCTGCCCGGAGTGGCACCGAGCTGCACCGTCAGTTTGTAGCTTTTTTTGGCATTCTTTTCTTTGAGCCCCATCTGCTGGAGTCCCGTGATTTCATGAGACATTTATCGTTCATTCAGTTCTTCGCATGAAAAAAAAAGAACATTTTTAGCCCTTGCGGCCAAAGACAGAAGCCTTAAGACCAATAAATAAATAAATAAATAATAAATAAATAAATAAATAAGAACAAAAGAAAAATGTTTAAATCTGAAGAATTTTGGGACAGTCCCGTGATCTCACAATTTCTGATTGCTCGTGGCTGGGAATATCTGGTGCTGCCACCGGTACAAACAGCCTCCCGGGCCTGGTTCTCATTTCCACCAAGGTCCCATCACACCAGTCTGGCAGCACTGGAAGCTGGTGTGATGTATAAAGAGGTGTCGGTGTAAATGACAACTAAGCCCACTTGACCCCAGCGAGCCTACTCCTAATTTACTCCAGCTCTGGGGAGGTCCGAGGCAGACACCGGCTCAGGAAAACTTGACGGAGAGACAGACAAATGTACGCCGCAACCTGCTGCTGCTCCAGAGGCCTCCGAGCCAATTATTTGGGTGATCTCACTCCTCCCTTCCTTCTCCTTTCTCTCCCCCCTCTTCCCCATCACGTGCTCGCTTCCAGCAAGCGCACGTCCTCCTGCAACAAAAAGCAGTGCCGCGGAGGAATGTGGAGGGTTTGAAAGCCCCCCGAGAGCAGGTAGATCCATCTGAGCGAGAGCGGAGTGCCTGCCTCCTCCGAGTCAGGAGGGGAAGGCGGGAGGAGATCGGTTTACATAAGTACTTTGCCATATGAAGAAATAATTTAGTAGTATTAATAGAGGTTAAAGTTTCCCAGGAATCCAAAACAGGCCCCGCAGACACAGGTGGGTTCTTTCACTCGCAGGGATGGGGAACGTAACCTGATTCCCTCCGGCCGAGGGGAGACGGGAGGGTGGTGGGGGCCGTGGGTCCTGCTGGTGCTGGGCTGTGGGGCAGGGGCTCTGCTGCGGGCTGCAGTAACCACACCAGCTCCATCGTGCCCAGACAGGGCAGGATGGGCACGGGCAGGGGTGCTGGGTGGTAGGGAGGCTGGATCTGAGCTCTGGATCGAGGTTATGATGAGGAAGGGGTTCGTGGGGACGATGCTGGCAACATGCACGTGGCCCCTGCACGCTCCCCACGTGGTGCTGCGGGCACGTGCAAGCAGGCACACGTTGGAGTGTGCACCAAACGTGCTCAGCAAGGTGCCTGGAGTGTGATGCACAGCGCTGGAAACATCCACACGTGCAGGGCTTGGGTTGCACAGACCAACCTGGAATCACCTCCTGCTTCTGTAGGACCCCCCAGCTGGTGCCCAGCCATGATGCACTGCCAGCACCTCCTGCAGAGCAGGACTTGATTGCCATGAAATGGATAAAATGGGACAGAATAAATGGATAAAACAGCATTAGGCTCTTAGATAATGTTGCTGATTACACATTGCATCAAACACGGAGCTTTTTACAACCCACGGAGCTTTAGGCCACCCCCAAAATAATGATCTCTCAAAGTGATCACGGTGTTCTCGCCCTGTAAAACACACGGGACCGAGCTCCAGCCCACCCCACGTGGGGCTGTGCTGCCTTGCACCAACTCGGGATTTGGCCCACGGCCTCCCGATCACAGACCCCAGCACACGTGGCTGCTGTTCTGCTCCGGAAGGGCCTAACAAAGAAACAAGAATATTTGTTAATATATCTTTTTTCCACTGAAAAGCACTTAAACCTCCTAAGACACTTTTTCCAGACATCTAAATCTTTTAAAAATATTCTCTAGACTCCATAAAACTTATATTTTCCCTGGGTTCTCCCGTGAGTTATTAAAAACCTGAAGTCTCTACCTTAAGAGCTTAGAGTTTGGTCATGATCAGAAATCCAACTATGCAGCATGGCACCTTCTTGTGCATGCAGAGGCACAACCCACTGCCTTCGTGGGGAATAGCCGAATGTACTGCAGAACCAGCACAGTCGGAGGAGAACAGCCCAGACTACAAAGAGACGAGCGATTTTTTTGGGGGTATCCAGGCTAAGACAGATGGAGGGATGTGTGTTGGAGATGACAGAGGCTCGGCGCGCTCTGAAAACACAGGGTGCTTTGACGGATCCTCCTGGATTGGCACCGCACCGTTTGTAGCTGTTGGAAAACAGAGTCGCATTCGCACTGTTTACTCTTTTCTCAAGCACCACCTGAAAATGTCTGAATTTTTAACAGCAACATCGCTGGTTTCTTCCAAAGAGGCCCTTAAAAAGCAGGGTTTTTTCAAGGAGCTCCCGAAGCCGCATCCAGCCACCCTTTTATCCGCACCAGCCCGGCACGGAGCGCTGCTGGTAGCGGTACACCCGAAAGGCACCGGGCACGGGGGGGCTCTGGGGGGTCGGAGCAGGGTGTTTCTTTCCATAGCTGCTTTCCTAGACCAGATCCGTGCTCCAACGCTGCTGGAATCAAAGGGATCGTAATACCCTCCCTGGTTCACTTAAACATCAGTTTGTCTGGGGCGTGAACTCTGCCAACAGCAGCTCCTGCAAAGTGCTTAGCTCTTTTTTTCCACCCCCCCCCTCTTTCTTTCCTTTTTTAAAAAAGCTTTCTCTTCTCCTCCCTGCTCTTACCTTGCTCCCTGCCTGCCTCCCCGTAGCCTCCCAGAAGCGCTGGCGTGTTTTTAACCCAGGCATGAAACAATCCCACAGCCGCAGATTGTGATGTTTCAGATAACATACGGAGAATGTAAATCCTGTCAGCAAGTGCAACAGCCATAAAAGGCTAAAATGGATTCCTGCGGATTAGAAATAAAACACAGAAAGGGCCCTGTTCTCTCACTTTCCTCATCTCACAACCTCCTCCGCCTCCCCTCGCCCTCCCTCTCCTCACTCCCCTTAAAAAATCGCCTGGAAATGCAAGGGGCGTTTTTTTTTTTTTTTTTTTTCTTTTTTTTTTTCATCAACTTAAAAGAAAAATAAAATACATTCCAGGAAAAGGACTGCTGCTAAGAAAACTAAAACCAGAAAATGCTTAAAGATGTTTTAATGACTTAAACACAGGGCCGGGATTGTGTCTAAAAGTTTCCACATTTAAAAAAAAAAAAAAAAAAGGCAAATTCAATATTAAATGTCCCCCCTCCTCACTAGCACTGCTGCTGTATTTCTTTCTCGAACCATCTGATTTAAGCAGCGTGTTATTAAC